AAAAAAAAAAAAAAAAGGAAAAAAAAGAACACAGCCCAATGCTCAGAAGCGTGCAGAGTCCTTGGAGCCCAGATGGACATGAGCCCCCTCCCCGCCTCAAGGAGGTCTCCTGAAACTAAGCTGAGAGATCAAAGCCTCTAGAAGGAGTCATCCCCCCACCACCAGGAGCCGCCACCTCTGCCCTGCAGCCAAGGGCTCCAACTCACAATTTCCAGCACCTTCCACAGTCCAAGGTACCAGGGTGCCCAGGGCAAGAAGCACGAGGGGGAAGAGGCTGCCGGACTGCATTGTGAGGTGAGGGGTGACTCTGAGTGTCAACGCCAAACCTCATTATTTATATCTTCACTAGTGGGCGTGGCCCCAGCAGAATTTCCTCGACCCCTCCCAGCTGCGATTGCACATACAAGAAGCCGGGTGAAGACCAGCAGTCTGGTACCATGGACACAGGGCTCTTTCCTGTCCCAGACAAGACCGCGAGGCCAACAGAGTGACCGCCAGTGAAGAAATGCAAGAGGCCGGCCTGGAAGATGTCACCAGGCTGATAAGAAGGTCATCTCAGGTGTCCTGGGGGCCCCAACCCCATTGGCCTGGCGAGAGGGAGGAGAGGGCAAGAAAAGCCAGCTGCAAAGAAGCTATTTGGATCTGGAGCTGAGCGGCACCTGGCTGGCTCAGACGGGGGAGCGTGCAACTCTTGATCTCAGGGTTATGAGTTCGAGCCCCACGTCGGGGGTAGAGATTACTTAAAAAAAATAAAATCTTATATATAAAAAAAAAAGATCTGGAGCTGAAACCACGGAGAGTGAGCTCTCAACTAAGACCTTGTGCAAGGGCCCCCTGGACTCTCAGGGATTGTGAAACTCTCTCCTGACTGCTCAATACAATTTCCTTCTCAAAAGTTCAGATGATATATCAATCAACCAACAGATATTTCCCCCAAATATTGACACCATTCTATCTCCAGTGCCTGTTCCATGCCTGATACATGGAAAGCGCTCGCTGAATGATTGTCAAACAAGCATGTCTGGCCAGCTTAGTTGGTAGAGCATGTGACTCTTCATCTTGGGGTCCTGAGTTCAAGACCCACGTTGGGTGTAAAATTTACTTAAAAAAAAAAAATAAAAAAATAGGGGGTGCCTGGGTGGCTCAGTCGGTTAAGCAGCTGACTCTTGGTACTGGCTCAAGCTGTGATCTCGCAGTTGTGGGATTTAAACCCACATCAGGCTCAATGCTGGGTGTGGAGATTGCTTGGGGCTCTCTCTCTCTAAGTGAATAAATAAACATCTTTTAAAAAATAAAATAGGCAGCTGTCAGAGAAAAAGGTAAAGAAAGAAGAGCTCTGCCCACAGAAAATCTCTTTGGAACTCCGTTTTCCCAGCTATGCAATGGGGTGATACTAACAAATCCGCCCCTCTCAGAGAGTCATGAGATGAAGGGTGTGGAAGAACTTGAAAAAGAACAAATGAATTGTATTCCTTACAAGTGAAGGACATTGAACTGAATCTGGGAGCAAGGTGCAAACAGCTCCCTGGCCACCAGAACCAACATGTGGTTACAGTGTACAATTTGAGATGCTAGAGGGATGTTTCCTACCCCCAAAATCTACAGATCTTGCGTGATAAAAAAAAAAAAAAAGATGGCTGCCATATATTGAACTTACTCCGTGGGTTACCCAGTCTGCAGAGATTGCTTCTAATTATCAAGAAGGTGATCATCATGTCTAAGATTCAACCCAAACCTGTCTGACTGCCCAAGCTCTTATATCGTGTGGCTCGTAGATGTTTCGGATTTCCCCATCCACTCCTCAGTGTGAAGGTTCGTGGAAATCGAAATAGACATTTAGGGTTGTGGGTTGTCATGCAATAACGACTCCACATGAACTAATTCGTAAAGTACTCTCCAGCAGTCCACTGACAGCAGATCTGTCTGGGCAGAAGCCACTCTCCCGTTTACATTCTGATGGGAAAAGAAAAGGAAGAAAATTCGTATGCCCTGGGGAAGAAGGAAACTCCAGGTGTCCCCTCCTAGCTCGAGCACCCAGTAGGGCAAGTAAGAGAGAGATAGAGGGTCTGACGTCCCCCCCCCGTGGGTAATAGCACTGTCAGCTCAAATAACCTGGCTCATGTTCAGGATTTGGGCTCTCACTTCCCCCAGCTGAAGAAAGTCTGATTCCTCTCGCACAGGGATGAGAGCGGGAAAAGCTGCCACACTCCCCACTTCCTCTTTCTTCCTATCTTCCTCAACGCCACAGTCCCGAGAGTGTCTGGCATCTTCTAAATATCTGCTTCTTAAAGAGTGAAAGGGAGAATGGTCCAGCTGGAATTCTTCATCTGTGATTGATTAGACAAGCCAACCCCTTTCCCATCAGGAAGGAGTGTTGTGATCAATTGGCAATGACCGCCACGGGCGCCGTAGGAGGATAATGACGTTGGGCGATCATTTCCGTCCTTCATACCTTCGGTTCTCTAAGTCTTTAAATCATAAACTCTTAAGATTAAAAGAGGATTTCAGAGGTCATCTAGACCAGGGGGTCAGCCAGCTACAGCCCCCAGAGCAAATTCCAGACAGCGGCCTGTTTTTCTAAATGAAGTTCTGTTGGAAACAGCCACACATTCATTTGGTTTTGTATTTCTGTGGGTACTTCCCCCCTACAGATGGCAGAGTTGCGTAGTTAACGGCAAAGACCTAAACTTACTCCAACGCCTAGAATGTTCACTCTCTGGTCCTTCACAGAAAATGTCTACGGACTCCTGATCTAAACCAAACCTCCAACTTGCAGGAAGCTACTGAGGCCCTCAAGAGCAGGCACGAGCCCAGAGTTGCATAATGAGTTAATTACACAGCACCAGACTGAGATTTGCCAAAACCAGTTTACTGAACCCCGGAAGCTTTTTGGTGGTGGACACTTGCCCTCCTAACCGGATCTTAACCTGACACTGATTCTCTCAGCCTGCTTCACACGCCCTCCGTTGCCTTCTACTAAATACTACAGATTCTTTCATTCATTAAGTTCATTCACACAGAAGTTGTTTAATGAATTCTTACTGCGTGTCAGGAGCTGTGCTAGGCCCTGAGGCGACAATGAAGAAGACACACGGGGTCAATACCACATGGTCATTGAAAACCTAAACACAGTGGGAGTTCCCTGGGCTGGAAGAAACTCACTGAACCTCTCTGAGCCTCAGTTTCCTCAGCTTTGGTCTTGGTTTCTCCTATACCACATGGTGGCCGTGAGGAGTATTTGGCAAGCACTCAGCACAGTGTCTGGTCCACTCAGAATGGCAGGCATGTTCTTATTCATCGGTATCTGTACGCTGGGCACACAGGGAGCTGTCAGGCTCGAACTCAGCCCCAGGCCTTGGGTCTGGGCCCCACCTGCTCTGCCCCATTAAAGGCCCAACTGAGCCTTTCAGGACAGAGCTACTTTTAGGATGTGTGGGGGCCCGGGCAAATATTTCTTGAGGGCCCTCTGTCTATAGGAACAATATGATTAAAAAATATATTATAGGGGTGCCTGGGTGGCTCAGTTGGTTGAGGGTCTGGCTTCAGTTCGGGCCATGATCTCACGTTTCGGGAGTTCAAGCCCTGCGTCGGGCTCTGTGCTGACAGCTCAGAGCTTGGAGCCTGCTTCAGATTCCGTGTCTCCCTCTCTGCCCCTCTCCCGCTCACTCTCTCTCTCTCTCTCTCAAAAATAAATAAACATTAAAAACTTTTTTAAATACTTTACAAAATTCACTGTTCCCGTGACAGGCAGAGTGATTTATTTATGAAGATTTGGAATAATGAGAAGAAATCCCAGTGTATTTGCTTATTGTCCAATGAGAACAAGCGAAGTTTCCTCTCAGTCTCCTCACACCATTTCTTCCTCCAGGGGTCCTGAAACCAGCTCTCCACATTCTTTTTTTTTTTTTTAAAATAATTTTTCTTAATGTTATTTATTTCTGAGAGAGAGACAGAGTGCAAGCAGGGGAGAGGCTGACAGAGAGGGAGACACAGAATCCAAGGTGGGCTCCAGGCTCTGAGCTGTCAGCACAGAGCCTGATCTGGGACTTGAACTCACAAACTATGAGATCGTGACCTGAGCTGAAGTCGTATGCCTAACTGACTGAGCCACCTCCGGGCACCCCTCCATGTTCCTTACGGTCAGGGGGACTAGTTTCAGATCTCCCGGCACAAGAAAAGACCGCAAACCCATTCTGACTCAGAGAGTGCCAAGGCTTTATGTTGTCTGTATTAAAACAATGTAGGTGTTTGTGATGATTAATTTTTGTGTCACCTGGTGAGGCTATGGTGCCCCGTTGTTTGGTCAAACACCAGCCTAGGTGTTGGTGGGAAGGTATTTTTTAGACATGACTAAACATTCAAGTCAGTAGACTTTGAGCCCAGCAGATTACCCTCTGGAGTGTGAGTGGGCCTCATCCAATCAGTTGAAGGCCTTAAGGGCAAAAACAGGTTTCCCGGAGACAGGAATGTTCCATAAGACTGAAACCTAAATCCTGCCTGACTTTCTGGCCTGCTGCTCTGCAGAATACAGGCACAAGACTGCAGCATTAGCTCTTACTTGAATTTGGAGCCTGCCCTGTGGGTTTCCTACTTGCCAGGCCTCAGGATTGCATAAGCCAATTCCTTGAAATAAAGGTCACGTTCTTTCTCTCTCTTCCTCTATCTATCTATCTATCTATCTATCTATCATATAATAGTGCCATGTACAGTATGTGCATACTATGTAATATTGTATATGTTAATATTACACATATCATATTGCTTGTCTTTCCGCAGAGCCCTGGCCAACACAAGCTTCTTCCCCCCGCCCCCCATTCCCAACATCATTTCTTCAAAGCTGGTTGCACCATTGCCCCTAATACTGCATCATCCACTCTGCCTCCCCTCAGTACTGGCCTCCAACTATGGCTTCAAAGGTTGTTCTTTGTCGTTACCACCAGTGCAGCTCAGGGGAAGGGTCCTTGCGGCTGGTGGGTCCTGCCCACGGATGTGCTGAGTAGTGCAGCAGGGACCCGGCCCCCGACCGCCGCCCCCCCCCCCCACTGCCGTGAGGTCTGCGCTCTCCCTGTGTGTATCCCTGAGAGGGAATAATAGAACATGACAAAAAATACCATGACCAATCGCAGAAGAAAGGGGAAAAGTGGCTTTTTGCTTGGCCAGGGGTATTTTAAGTGCCTTTAATGGCATTTTTCCCTGCTTTTGAACAAAGGGCCCACATGTTCACTTTACCCCGGGCCCTACAACTTAGGTAGCCAATGCTGGAGGGGCTCAGGGGTGACGTGAGAGAG